TGTTGTCAGTGCCTGCGTGCACAGCAGAAAGCCGCAGTCACGAGCCTTCCCGGACCCTCCCCAGAACCCCTCCAGGAAAGTTCTGTTGGGCAAAAGAAATCTCAGCAAAGTAAGTAGTTGAGACAGCACGGAGTTTAACCTGGCGCCCGCCCCGTTCCGCACACACGTTTGTCACCGCTCTTTCCTGCCCATGGCCGAGTTTTGTGGAGAGCGAACTCTCACAAGTGCCCAGGCCGTGCCTGCCCCAGGATGGAGAGCTCGCTCCTCTTCCAGGGTGGGCAGTGCTAGTGGTCCTGGTGCTGTCCCTTCTCACGCCGTGGGCCTGTGATGACGGTGGTGGTGATGGTGATCTTGTTCACGGTCAGCCCTCCTGTGCCGTAAGTGTCAAGATGTGCCTCTCGTTTGTACTCAGAGACTTGCTTGGTGGAGAGGAGCTCCCACACTGACACCCTCTGCTCCTGGAACTGGCCAAAAGTAATGTAGGAGCCCTCGGACTGGAGGAGATCCACTGTCTGCTGGGGAAGGGTCGCAAGATAGCTTGCTTTGCTGTCTGTTGCAATGCTGCTGGTGGTGCTGACCAGTTCCTGAATGGTGAGTATCCCCGCACGGTACAGCTCCAGGAGCTCCTGCCTTTTCTCCTTAGGGATGTAGTCAGAGAAGAGCAGGTCCCACACAGAGACCTGCCTCCCCTGGAACTCATCCGTTGACATCTCGACTATGGTGGACTTCAAGGTCTCTTCCCAGGTCCTGTCCTCCTGCAGATGGGTGAGCTCAGCTTCTGCGACTGTCGATTCTGCTCTTGGACTGCTCGCATTTGCCAGTTGCGCTGCCCTTGCCGCTTCTGCCTTGGTTACAATAGTGCTGACAACGGTTTTCACCTGATCAAGGGTTAACTCTCCTGCCTGGTACAGCTCCAGCAGCTCCTTTCTGTTCTCCTCAGGGATATACTTGGAGTGGAGCAGGTCCCATACAGAGACCTTGTGGCCCTGAAACTCTCCAACCTCCATGTCGACGACTGTGGTTTTCAAGGCTGTTTCCCATGGTTCTTCTTTGGGGGTGTCATCATCCTTCTCTCCTGCTGCTGACACAGTGTCCTTGTTGGAACTCTTGACTGCAACTACAAATTTCCTGCCTGTAGATTCCTTTTTCTTAATGAGAGTGGTGACAACAATTATTAACCGCTCCAAGGCCAATGTCCCCTCACGGTACAACTCCAGGAGCTCCTGCCTTTTCTCCTTAGGGATGTAGTCAGAGAAGAGCAGGTCCCACACAGAGACCTGCCTCCCCTGGAACTCATCCGTTGACATCTCGACTATGGTGGACTTCAAGGTCTCTTCCCAGGTCCTGTCCTCCTGCAGATGGGTGAGCTCAACTTCTGCGACTGTCGATTCTGCTCTTGGACTGCTCGCATTTGCCGATTGCTCTGCCCTTGCCGCTTCTGCCTTGGTTACAATAGTGCTGACCACAGTTCTCACCTGATCAAGGGTTAACTCTCCTGCCTGGTACAGCTCCAGCAGCTCCTTTCTGTTCTCCTCAGGGATATACTTGGAGTGGAGAAGGTCCCATACAGAGACCTTGCGGCCCTGAAACTCTCTGACCTCCACGTCAACGACTGTGGTTTTCAAGGCTGTTTCCCATGGTTCTTCTTTGGGGGTGTCATCATCCTTCTCTCCTGCTGCTGACACAGTGTCCTTGTTGGAACTCTTGACTGCAATTAGGAATTTTCTGCTTGTAGATTCTTTTTTCTTAATGACAGTGGTGACAACAGTTATCATCTGCTCCAGAGTTAATATCCTTTCACGGTACAGCTCCAGGAGCTCCTGCCTTTTCTCCTCAGGGATGTAGTCAGAGAAGAGCAGGTCCCACACAGAGACCTGCCTCCCCTGGAACTCACCAGCTGGCACTTCAATGGTGGTAGACTTCAAGATGTTATCTAGTTGTGCATCTTGTGTTGAAAAATCATCTCCGTTTTCCTCTGCCCTTGTCACTGCCTTGTGTGGACTTCTGGTGTTTGCCATAAGCACGGCATTTGCAGCTTCTGTTCTGTTTATGATGGTGGTGACCGCAGTAGCCACCTGTTCTGTGGTCAGTATCCCTGCTCTGTACAGCTCCAGCAGCTCCTGCCGCTTCCCCTGAGGGATGTATTTGGAAAAGAGCAGATCCAACAAGGAAATGTTTTGCCCCTGGAACTCACCAGCACTGACATAGATGGTTGCAGACTTTAAGGACTTTCTCAACTGTTGCTCCTGGGAGTGCGTATCCTGAACTGGTGGTGATGCTCCCACCTCCTTGCTGGGGGAGCTCAGACCCTCATTTTCCATTTCTGCCCCGGTGATGACAGTGGTGAGGATGGTGATCATCTCTGGGATGGTGACCGTCCCCGCCTTGTATTTCCGCAGCAGCTCCTCTCTCTGGTGATCAGGGATGTAGCGGGAGAAGAGGAGCTCCCAGACGGTGACGCGCTGGCCCTGGAAGAGCCCCACGTTGAGGGTGGTGCGGGCGGCCTGCAGGGCTTTCCGGGCATCTTTGTTCAGCTGGTGGAGCACGGAGCCCTTGTCCATCACATGGAGCATGAGCAGCCCCGTGTCCCGGTCAGGCACGCAGCGGCGGAGGAGCTGTGTATAAGTGAGGTTTTCGTGGGTGTTGGGGTCGAAGCAACTTCTTGTTTGATTCTTGGGGTTAGAAAGGAACTGGCACATCTCCTGGTCAAAGTAGCCATGTTGGTAGGCCACCTCCACGGGGAGACGGTGGCTGTGGACGGGGTCGATGATGCCGCCGGTGGCGATCTGGGCCTCGAGCAGGCGGATAGCATGCTCCTTGACGATAAACTCTTTCTTCATGGCCTGGAAGAGGGAGATCTTGTGCCCTGTGTACGGCTCCGTGTACCCTGTCACAGCTCCCTCCGCCGACAGCAACTTCTCATAAAAATCTCTGCCTATGAGTCCTGCAGTCAGTGCCTCTTTCACTGATAGTTTCTGGTTCCTCACAGGGTCGATGAGGAACCCTGAGGCAGCCTGCGCCTCCAGCAGCACCAGAGCCGTCCCTGGTGTCAGGAGCCCCCTCATCATGGCATCATAGATGCTCATCTTCTTATTCATGGCCTGGATGAAGACTCCAGCTATGAAGTTACTCCCACCCATCTCTTTGTGTCCACCTGCAATCAACTTACTTCCCGTGCTGCTCGCCTTGTTGTTCTGAGGGGGTCCACTCATCTTCTGCATTGTCTCTGGGGAATAGTCCTGCTACCGTGGGGCACCGCGTTTGTCTGAGGACAAAGAAAGAAACGACTTGGTAAGACACGGGTTCTTGTGCAGTTTTCACGCTGTGTGTGAAGAAAGTCATCTCCCTGGATGTGGTAGCAAGAGCCCAGAGAGAAGCAGGGAGTGGGGTCTGGGGCTTTGCTGCTGTCCTCTCTCGGCAGCAGTCTCAGGGCCCAGAGTGCCCCTTGTCCAGCTCCCTCTCGAACGGCAGATGAGAGCTCTCTGGAAGCAGCAGCGACAGCCCGCCCGGCGTGTTTGCCTGTCAGCACGCTGTGCAGCTCCCAGCTGCAGTGGTGGGCTCTGTGCGTCTCCGTGCAGCCGGTGGTCTTGGCACAGAGACGCAGCGCTGTCGGATGCCTGTGCCAAAGAGCTCCTGCGCTCAGGGCAAGTGCTGTGAAGGGGAGCGGACAAGGGAAGCTGAGCAGCACCTCAGGCACCTGCCCGCAGAGAGGTCTGAGGGCCACGTCACAGAGTTTAGGCAGGTTTAGTGGGAGATATACGCTCTGCAAAGAAGCATCGTATCAGCAGCATGGATAACTTGGCACCACTCGGGTCCCCCAAGGAGCTGCCTGCTCTCCCAGAGCCTGACGCTGCCTCAAACCTGCGGCATCTACGACTTTCCTCTTCTGTTCCTGGGTGACACCACCACCGATTGCTTTTGGGCTGATGCCACAGGAAGCATGGCCACTGCCCACCTCCCTGTTCCCTCAGTACTGGCTCCTCTGCTGCCCTGGGGCCGGCCGATTTAGCTGGTGGTCGTTTGGCAATCACGGGTCGTGCCAAGAAACAGCAGTGACTTCCCGATATGACCGTCACCAGTGACTACCCAGCTGCAGAGAGGTGCTGGCTAGTGCTGCAGGTCATCTTCTGCTCTTATCCCCTTCGACCATCATGCTGCCTGGCTTCGTGCTGGTCATGGGCAGGCTGTGAGCGTGGTGGGACAGCACCAGCACCGAGCAGGATGGCAGGCACAGCCTGGCTCATGGCTGTCTGTGGAGATCTTTCTTCTTGCTGTGTGATCCCACAGCACCCTGGCATGGCACAGGACATGGGAATGGTCTTAGCGAGAGACGAGTGGCTGGTCAGATCCACGTGCAGCAGTGGGTCCAGACTGGCAGAGACCTTCGCTCCGGCTGTGCCTCTGCTGCAGTTGAGATGTGCCTGGGTCTCTGCTTGTTCTAAAGCCATGGGGTTGGCAGAGCCCCCAGCCCCCCATCCTGTTACACTCTCCTGTCCTCCAAAACCGGGGTCTGCTGCCACAGATACACAGATGTGCTGGCACCGGTCCTTGCCCATGCTATGGTCCTGTGCATGGGTGTTGTCCGCGGGAGGGCTAGTCGGCTGGTGCCAGGCACCATCCTGGGGACCATTCTAACCAGTTCCGGCAACTGGGGACAAGGACAGAGTCAATGGGAGGTTTTGTCTGACCAAGAGCTCTCTCTGCAGCAGGGCCAAAGTGCTCTCTCCAGATATTTAGGGAAACTGCTCTAGGAACAGGATGGCAGAGAGAGATGCTCTGGGCTAGGAACAGGATGGCAGAGAGAGATGCTCTGGCCGAGCCCTCTGGCACACAGCCCTCTGGACATCCTGGGCCGGGCTT